GCATTCAGCGATCAAAGGAAGTTTGCTTAGCACGATTGTTATTGCTTGTCCTTATGCACACAAAGAACAAAACCCATACCCCTACGAAAGTTAGTACGATAAGGAGCCGATTAGTCGACTCTTTGTCCACCAACTTTAGGTAAGGATATCTGCTCATTAATAGTGCTTTTGTACTATTCACTGTAGCAAAGTACAAGTCTTCCTCTTAAGGCTTGACACACACTCTAACCCTACCATATTGCATTAAGTGAACATTTAATGCAATTGGTATAAATAGAAATGTTTCTTCTCCATGTAGAGTGCGCGCAACTCACTCTAACCCTAATTCTTACTTCAAGCATTTTCTAGCTTAAGTAAAAGATCTTCTTTACAACAATTACATTTCTTGTATTTGCTAAGACTTTGCGTGTAACCAACGATTGTTTAGATAGATTTTTATTACCTTATCTTTCCACAAACAATCTTGTAAAATCTGTATTGATCTTCTCTATCAATATATATTTTAAATTTGAAAATACTGTGTTTGTATTCATCCCCCCTTCTACAAATTGTTTCTCTTCTTGTAGACCCTTACGGGACCAACAATTTTTTAATTTATCCATTGATTTGTGGTTAAGATTGAATCTCGCAGTTATCACAAACTAATAAGTTTTCTCTTGAATGGATTCCTATACACACATACACGCGCACACAAACACACACACACACACACACATATATATATATATATATAGAGAGAGAGAGAGAGAGAGATAGAGAGAGGAGCGTTCAAATAAAAACCGGCCCCATTTGTGTAAACCGTGTAAACCAATCTCATCCATTCATTTTCTTGATCAATGGCCAAAATTAGTTTACTTTATTTTAGGAAATTAAAGAAAAATATATATTAAAATTTTATTTTATTTCAACAGTAAGGACATAAATGGTAAACAAAATTTAATATTTGTTAACATCTTACTCGATCTTTCATGAATCTTTTTTCATGCAAAATTATTTTCTTCCAAGATTAGTTTACTTTCATGAATCTTTTTTCAAGCAAAATTATTTTCTTCCTTTCGTTCATTGTTTGATGCATTAATTCCTTTAAGCCTTGCAATCTTAAAGATTCTAAAGCATATTACAATCGTCAAGATTCTGAAGCAGTTTCTTCATGTACCCGTTTCATCATTCAATTATTTCATGACGAACCAAATACATTATGCAATCATTTCACTAGTCATGCTCAAGAACGCCATGAACCAGTTTCACTTTCATGAAACCTATTTCATGTACAATAATTTTCTTATTTAACCACTGATTTGATGGATTCATTCCTTTAAGCCTTACAATCTTCAAGATTCTGGAGCAGGTTACAGTCTTCAAGATTCTGTAGCAGATTAAAATCATTTCCTCGTTTCATCATGCACTTAGTTCATGACGCATCAAATACAAAACGCACCGGTTTCATTTTTCTCTTCACCAACTAAATGGATCAACTACACAATCAATGTAACGGGTTCACCATGAAAATATTTCGGTTCACATAATTTATTTGCAACATGAACCAGTTTCTCGTTCATGAAACCTGTTTCATTTCTGGAATTTTTTTATTCATTTACGATTTGATGATTTCATTATACACTTCAATTGTTTCATCAAGACCCGTTTGCTGATTATTAAATATTACAATATATGAAATTCAAATTTTTTATATTATAATATAATTAAATATTTAAATGTTACCATTTATACAATTTCCTTTATTACATTTTCTTAATTAAAATTTATTAATAACTTTCATATTTAATAAAAAATATTATAAATGACTGAAATACCCTTATTGATTAATTTTAATTAGAAAAAAATGAAATTTTCTTATTGGTCGAAATTGGTTTACACGGTTTCTTAGAAATGCACGGTTTTCATTTGAACGTGCCCCTATATATATTCGAGTTATTTTTTATGAAAACTTTAAATTAACAAACCGCGTTTAACTATTACTCATAATTTCTAATTTATTCGAACACAAGAATTTGGATCTTTTTCTAATCAACCTCATATTAATTTTCTATTATTGACTTAAAATAGAATATTACATATTGTTGTATGATGTAGATCCCTAACTAATACATACATATACACATATATAATACAAATGTAGATGAAGAATTGTATTAGAATAAGAGTTAAAGTGAGAAGCGTGAGAAGAAATCTGGATCCTTGATCATTTTTAATCCTACTCTCACCTTATAAATTACACATCTCACCATAACTTTTCTTATCCTTCTTACCATAACTTCCATTCTCACAACTCAACCCAACCCTACCCTACATATACTTATATATCTTAGGGGTTGTCACCAACGAAGGAACCGAATTACCCAAAAACCAAAACTATACGTAAGTTATAATTCTCTCTCTCTCTCTCTCTCTCTCTCTCTCTCTCTCTTTTCGTATACATATGCATTTTGGTAACTAAACGCTTTCTTTAAAGAGTTTTCTTAGGTAACCAAATAAAACATGACAAATTATTTGTCGTGCGTCTGATACAACTAGAATAAGATCAATTGTAAATATTACTTAGTGATGGTCAAACAGGCCCGACCCGGCCTGGGACTACCGGAGGACTGGTACCGAGACTGGCAAAGGACCAACCCCGGCCCAGGACTGGTTGAGGGACCGTTGACCGAGACCGGTTATGCATTTGGAGATATTTGTGGAACCGGCCCTGTTACGGGACTAGTTATGGGCCCGACCCTGCTTTTGAAAATTCTAGCCGTTTTTTTTACCTTTTTTGACTGTTGGGACCGATTTTTGACCCCCCCTTCTTCTTTTTTTTTTTTTTTTTTTTTTTTTTTTTTTGTCTTTTTGGCCTACTAAACAATATATGCAAGTGTCATGGAGTATGAATTTACATACTAACTTACAAGACGCAAAAAAAATGTTCACAATTCTCGGTTTCTCACTATATTTTGTTATTTCGGCTCGTATTCATTTCTCACTTCCACTTCACATTTGTAAGACAGAGAGAAAGAAATGAGAATTGTGAAGTGGAAACGAGAAATGAATACGAGTCGAAGTCACAAAATATAACGAGAAACTGATAATTGTGAAAGTTTTTTGGCGATTTTTGCGTTTCGTAAGTTGGTATGTAAGTCCATACTCCATGACACTTAAATATATAGTTTAGAAGGCCATAAAGACAAAAAAAACGGTCCCAACGGTCAAAAACGGCTAGTTTTTTCAAAAATCGGGCCGGGCCCATAAATCGCTACAAATGCATAACCGGTCCCGATCGACGGTCCCTCAGCCGGTCCCGGGCTTGGCCATTACTAACTATCGCTAAGTTAGAGCAAAACTGTTAAAAAGACTAAAACTAAAAGAATTAGTATAAAACCAAAGTATTAAACAAAATAAATAAAGAATAAGGAGATTATAAAAGTTCATCACAAAAGGAGAAGCATCATATTTTTGTAGTCATGTGGTTTGATGGTCGAGCCAAGAGAATAATTCAATTGTCGGCTAAATACATCCTAACTTGTTACTTTTCTCAATTACATTTTTTATCATTCTCGTATGTCTAATTCATTAGTAAATAAATTTACTTAGACTGTTTACTTTTTTCAAATTTTTGAAGACACTTATGTTTTATTGTCATCTTATCTGATAAGAGGTAAGTAAACCAACCTCTTATTTGTCTTTTATTGTTTTTTAAACCATCAACAACGACGTTTCTTAATCGATCATTTCTCTCAATCGATCCTTACCAAATCAATCATCACATCTCACAACTGATGTATTTTAGTAGGATTGAAATATGTTAAATACCGTTTATGATATATTTTCGTTTAAATAAATGTTAATTATATTATTTAAATATAAATTTCGTAATAATGATGAATAAATATATTAAATTTTATAAATTTATTTATAAATTAAACATCATAATTTTTTTAATGGCTAAAATAAATAATTTAAATAAATTCATATGTTTATCAGTTTACAAAAACAAACAGTTTTATTGATTCAAATTTCAGACTTCATCACCATTTTTTATAAATCAAAAATTTCAGACTTTAACATCTCTTAAAAAAAAACAAACATTATCTAAAAATATGTTTACATAATTTAACCTGATTTTAATATAAATAAAAGTGTATGTAATCATACATGTACAAAAATGAATAGAAAGACACCATCACCAAACACACCCACTATGCCATATTTTTAAGCCCTGCTCCTTTTGTAATCAATGGGGTACTACTATGATACATTATTCATTAAGCAACCTTTATCATCATCACATCATTATCACCATTGAAATGGAAGCCCTACATTCTTGTCTTAATGCTTTACAATATTATGCGTTATATATATATATATATATATATATGGGAAAATTAGAGACACGGAACACGAATGGACTTGATCAACAATAGGAGAGGGACTTAAAAGAATTTTATACTTAAAATCTTAATAGACTAGAAATGTTTCACTTTATATAAAAAGAAAGCCCAGGGGCCAAGGCCCCTAAAGGCCTAATGGCCATTTGCGTCCGAGCAAACTAGTAATTTTTGGCTTCAAAATTCATCAATCACATATATTTTCTTATAAAATAGTCGGTAATACTGCAAATGAACAAATTTATTGATTTAAACTTTCAAACATTTTTTTGTTAGATGGTGGGTCATATTTCAAATGGAAATCAAAAGATTTTGGTTTTTGAGCAATATTTGCAGAGCCGATATGCAAATTTAGCTGCTATTTCATGATAATATATACTCTTCCTGGCCGATGACATGTAGTTAAGTTGACAAAAGGATAGGACGATTATGTCCAAAAAAGTATATACTTTATTTGTCCTAAAATAAGTATTTACATTTTTATTTTAGTTTGTTTCGGTATTCAATTTTTGACTTATAAATACTATTTTCATTAAAAAAATTTAGGGAAGATTGATATATATACACTCATTATTTCTAATTCACCTGCCATGTGTTGTGTTCCTTCTTCACAGAACTATGAAATCATCAAGTTTTCTCCTACTTGTAATTGTTTGGATGGTGATGGAGTCACGTGCTGATCTCCCCGGCACGTGGGAGCTACTGGTGGCTGATGCCGGAATAGCCTCTATGCACACCGCCGTCACACGTTTCAACACCGTCGTCCTCCTTGATCGCACCCATATTGGCCCCACCCATAAACGCCTTACACAACGCCATTGTCTAAAAGATCCGGTTCTCAAACGCGATTGTTACGCCCACTCCGCCCTCTTTGACCTTACTGCCGGAAAAATTCGACCTCTGATGATCCTCACCGACACCTGGTGTTCCTCCGGCCAGTTTCTCTCCGACGGAACGCTCCTCCAAACCGGCGGCGATGGTGATGGTGTTAAGAAAATACGCCGGTTCACCCCTTGTGAACCTACGTCGTTTTGTGATTGGGAAGAACTTGAAGATGCTGAATTATCACAAGGTAGATGGTATTCCACTAACCAAATACTACCAGATGGGTCCGTGATTATTGTCGGTGGTCGCGCCGCTACTAGTGTTGAGTTTTTTCCGGCGAGACGTCACGGCGGTGCTGTGAATTTTCCGTTTCTTGCTGAAACGGAGGATACCCAGATAGACAATCTTTACCCCTACCTTCATCTTCTTCCCGATGGCCATCTATTCGTGTTTGCCAACAACAAAGCTGTATTATATGACTATAAAAAGAATGTAGTATTGAGAAAATACCCTCAATTGGACGGTGGCCCACGTAATTACCCGTCGGCAGGGTCATCGGTGATGCTGTCACTGACGGGTGATTACGCCGCCGCTACCATCGTCGTTTGTGGCGGAGCACAATATGGAGCATTCATCGAGAAAAGTATAGATACGCCGGCTCACGGTAGCTGCGGTCGGATCGAAGCAACAAAACCGGATTCAGTTTGGGAAATGGAGGATATGCCGTTTGGCCGGATTATGGGGGATATGGTGATGCTTCCGACCGGCGAAGTGTTGATCATAAACGGAGCACAAGCCGGTACTCAAGGGTTTGAAATGGCGTCTCAACCGTGTTTATATCCGCTTTTGTACCGACCGGATGAACCGGCGGGACTCCGTTTCATGACATTGAACCCCGGTTCGGTGCCTAGAATGTATCATTCAACGGCTAATTTGCTTCCCGACGGGAGAATTCTGATCGCCGGAAGTAACCCACATTATTTCTACAATTTCAATGCTGAATTTCCTACGGAATTGAGAATTGAAGCTTTCTCGCCGGAATATCTGTTGCAAGAGAAAGCAAATATCCGGCCGACTATCATTGAGTTGCCGGAGAAAATAACTTACGGCGGTGATTTTGATATTCTGGTGACGACAGAGCTTCCGGTGGTGGGAATAGTGGAGGTAAATATTGCGAGTGCCCCCTTTGCCACACATTCTTTCTCGCAGGGGCAGAGGATGGTGAAGCTGAGGGTGTCAAGCGCGGTGCCGAATGGATTGGGGGCTTATCGGATTTCATGTACGGCTCCGCCGGACGGTAGAGTGGCGCCGCCGGGATATTATATGGTGTTCGCCGTAAACACGGGGGTGCCAAGTGTTGCAAAATGGGTGAAACTTCATTAATTTACAACTATAATTTTGTAACGTTTTTAGCCTTTTCCTAAAACTATGTTTTTAAGGCATACTTTCATTATTTTTAACTATTTCTTAATTAAAATTTTATTTTAACCAGATTTCATGTAAAAATTTTACAACTCGATTTTCAGATTAAAAAAAATCCACATTTACATAAAAAAAAATTGTATAAGGATTCTCGTTTATATATATATATTTTTTTTATTAACTTGGATATCCTATCTGTTATGCGAGCCGACTAATCCTAAAGCGACCATCTGCTTTATAGATAGTCCGGAGTCACCGTATTTGAACTTTCGTAATCATAAGAGAATTTTTATTTTGTAGATGGGTTAAAATATAAATCGGGTCTCAAGAGAAGAACATATATTTTGATCGATTTCTTTTATTATAATATTTTTAGAATAAAGTTGTAAAAAGGTATAAGATTTGCAATTTATAAATGTAAATGAATGGTTGAAAAACCATTTGGATGAATGATTATTAATTAAAAATATTAAAATTTAAAACATTATAATTTTATTAGAATAAAACAACTTCTTAAAAGTGCGGTTGCTTTGTAAAAATGAAAAAGAGTTCGAATATTTTTATAAGTTATTTAAAATTTAAATAATTTTTTTTGGTGTAAGGGTGTTAAAAAACCAGACCAAATCAATCCAACTCAATGTGAAATAATTCAAACCGATGTTTAATTGAGTTGTAAAATTTTCAAACCGTAGATATTGGGTTACTATTATTTGAATCAACTCAAACCGAAGAACTTGATATCCTTTTATTTCTTGGATTTAATATGATTGTTGAAATTCTATTATATATTAAACAATTAACTATCATGTACGCTATTTATATACACATATTTTCAATCTATTCACATCTATATATAACTCATTCGTATATATGTTCAGTAACTGTGAACATAGATATGTAAATTGAAAAAATTAACTGAATGTGATATACGTAAAAAAGTATGGATAAGTTGTATCAAATGATTGATGATGAAAAAGAAATTATGAATAGAGAAATAACATATTCAAGGTTAGAAATATATTTTAATGTAACAAAGTATCAACTCAACCAACTTGTACAGGTTAGGTTGGGTTGGTTTAATTTTTTTTTTTCCAAAACAAAAGCATTAGGTTGAGTTGTTCAAATATCTTCAATTCGATCAACTCAACCCATGAACATCTCGGTGGGAGATGGTGGTTGTTGGATATAAAGATAATGGCATCTCATTTTGAGGAATATATTGTCCACGTGAAATTGACTTTAAGAGTTGCAAGGAAGGTATTTTTATATGTTAGCCAAAATTTACTTTTTATATGATGCGTTTGTTGTTTTAAATCAGGAATATATATTTTAAAAAAACTTAAATTAATTTTACGGTTTTCAAATCATACGCATTTCAACCTCTTGTCATTCCTTGTCGACTCATATTCGTCCACTCTCTATCATCGCTTATCACAACCATTGGCCCATGCCATCGATCTCCCTCTTTTTTTATTGTTCCTTTTTTCGCTTTTTAATTCTCCATTAAATTGTTGTAAAAGTGGAAGAGCTGGAAAAAAAAAGATAGAAAAAGAGAGATCGATGGCATGGATCAACAACGATGATAAATGGTATGAAGAATGAACAATGATGGAGCGACGAGGAGTGGCCGGGAGGAGGGGTAGTGTGTGAGGAGTTGGAATGGCGTACGGTTTGTAAACGATAAAAGCGATTCAAGTTTTTTTAAATTTAAAATCTTCCTAAGCAGTTACACATTCCTTTTTTGAGTTAAAAGAATGTTGATACAAATTTTTAAAAGTCTGATGGTCTATTTATCAATCATTTCAACCAGATTGAGGTTAATGATGGGAGGAATCAAGTAGGACATAATGATAACCTTTCTTAGAACTATCAACAATTTAATACTAAGCTTTTTAACCCTTCGAAACAGTACGATTTTGAGTACATTTTGTACCTTGTATGATGTTGCCTCCTAACATAAGAGTAATATAAGGTAAGGTTCCATCCCTTTGACAACAACAAGACTCATCAAATGAATTATGGGTAACTGAATAATGTCATGAAGTCTTGGAGCGCTTGTAAAGGAGCTTTTTCACTGATTAAAAGATCTTTTATCCATGGGATTTTGCCTCAAACACGACCCTGTAAACTAAATTTTATCGTAACTAATGTAAGCACGTGAAAGAAAAGGTGTAATGCCCCAAAGTTGAAGCAATATATTGGAAATAGGGAATCTTACTGACTTACTGTAACATATTGATAACTCAACATTATAAGATGTGGGACGAAATGTTACAGACTCCCATTGTCAGGTTCTCAGACCATCATACTATTTTGATCCAACCTAATTCGCTGTTATATTGTTTTGCCTATTCCACCCTCTTTGATCCTAATGGTGGACGAATACAACCCCTGGTAAAACAATCATATTTGAGAGCTAGAACTTTCGATCCATTCTGCAATGGTCTTTTCTAAGCCTCTTTCACATACAATCATTTGAATCTCTTTCTTTTGAATGCAATTTCCAAATTTTGTTCCAAGAAATGACAGTAGACATATAGAACCAAGTACACATAAATTTAGTAACTAAAAATATGAGTTGTTCTTAATGATATCCGTTGTATCTGCACATCAAGCGAACATATCATTGTTAGGTCTAGTTTGAATCAATAATATACCCGGGGAATACATACCAAACCCCCTAGAAACAAATAAATATGTATAGTATAACTAGATGAAGCTTCTAGAAGGTCGACCACTACATAGAGAGATCTATATACCATTCATGAGCGATAGCGAAGCCTATAGAGGCGCAAGGCAACATGTATAAGAACACCAAAAAACAGAAAATAATTATTTCAGAGGCACATAAATTGGGAATGTAGATTCAGATGCACCTTACAAATATGAGATAGAACCCCTTTCACGCTCATGTTACGTTGACGTATTGCAGAAGAAAAAACTGCAAAATATTAGGCAAGCTATGCCCCCATCAATCTACATGTAAAATCATACAAACTAAGGCTAACTCGTATTATTATAAGCTAAAATTAAAATATTTTCTACAATCTTTTCTCATGTGACATTATGGACTGATCGTTGCAACGAAGACGTGGATATGGTACTCCTATGATATTAGCTCAGTACATGCTTATGCACATACTACAAAAACATGTCACATCAATTGCAATCACAGCAGGTAACATATCATATGTCAAATGGTACAAAAGATGTGATACATAAAACAACAAACACATCAATAATTACTAGTACAAGTAGTAAAATGATTCTGCAAATGAGATAGACTAAGTTGTACGCTAGAATCACATATTATCTCCAAGTACATTAATCCATAAATAATGGTACATCAAGTCGAAATTCATGGAGGTATACATGTGTCGTTGAAAACGAGTCAAAAGAATAAATAATACAAGCATGCTAACCACCATTAAGAATCCTTAGTGATAGCATCAAACTTTCATGTCTTAATATGTGTTTATAGGCTCAAAATCCCGCTTTTATGTTTTAATAGGCCTAAATTATGTTTATATAGCCTAGTTCTAGTCCTATGTTGATCAGTGCAAGAAACGAGCAAGAAAAAGCGAGGAAAATGGTTGGCTTGTTCAAGAGGGTTGTAATGAACAAGTGATCGAAGAAATGCATAACGGAGAAAAATGATACCATGACATGCTACCCTGCCATGTCAGAGTCACATACCAAGGCCGATAATATATATGGACTTACAGTACATAAAATACTACCCCAAGATGCGACTCTGACATGACGGTGTCGCATAAGGCACCTTGTTATAACCGATTAAGTTATTATTTGAAAGTTCAGGGTTGATTTTCAAAAGTTGTAAAAAGTTGAGGGATGTCTTTTAAATAATAGTTTAAAAGTTTTAACATCCACCGCCTCATGTGGAAATTATATATATATATATATATACTAGGTTCGGACCCGTGTATTACATGGGTTACTGATAAAAATTAAGCTGAAGTAATATGTTTTTTATAAACAATTAATAATTGGAGGTAACTTATAAATTTAAAGAAAGGTAATATTGCGATTAATTTTTTTATATAAAAATGCTCTTACTCGAAAATTAAATGTTACATATAGAAAGAACGACTTCTGCTTCGATGATCAGAAAAAACTTCTAAATGGAGACCAACAATGTAGATTCAGTACGCACCGCTGCGTAGTACAAGCAGATTGTTTGTATACCTATGTATAAGACAAACATAGGGCATTTTAGGTTCTGGGTAGTACATGATGAGAGAGAACTGTTACTCAAGAGAAGTACATAACCTCTATGATACTCTGCATGAAAGACGAAGGCAGGGTTGAAGGATACAAGCGAAAAAAAGTTTGGAAAGATGAAAACTGAAACTATTTACAGGTACAAGTCTGAAGGTCGTGGTCAGAGCAAGAGATAGATCATCGACGCATTACATGAAGAAACAGAGGTTTTTTTCAAGACTTACTGTTGATCCTCTCTCTCAGTGATTTGATGGTAATCCCTTTTATCTATCGATGTAATTTTGTTTATGTATTTTCAGTTCCAGCGATCAGACATTGAGTATGTTCAATGATCGCTGAGGAACTTGCTTTGTAAATCTCAGAGACAAACTACTTCAAGAAGACAACACTCACACCAAAGAACCTTCAGCGAATGTCGAAGACCGAAAACTGAAGATTAGAGACTGGCGAGTACGTGATCTGAAGCGGTATTCAGTGATTACGAACCTATCTACATATGTGTGAAGACTGCTCTAGCTTCAGCGAATGATGATGAGACCTCCAGGTTATTCCAGCATTCAGCGATCAAAAGAAACTTGCTTAGCACGATTATTGTTGTCTTGTCCTTATGCACACAAAGGACAAACCCATACCCTTACTAAAGTTAGTACTATACGGAGCCGATTAGTCGACTCTTTGTCCACCAACTTTAGGTAAGGATGTCTGCTCAAGAATAGTCCTTTTGTACTATTCACTGTAGCAAAGGACAAGCCTTTCTCTTAAGGCTTGACACG